TGGAGATTTGTTTCCTTTCCAGTTTTTGCACTTTTTTCTTCACCTTCTGAGTAGTTGCAGTCACTTCCTTTACCTTCTCAGTATCTTGCTTCATTATTTGTATCATATCGTTTATCTGGGTTTGTTGTGCAGTAATACTTTGAGTCACTATAGACATCTGTTCCTTGAAGTTATTCAGCTGTTCCAGCAGAGGGTGCATATATTCCACTATAGACTTTGCCACCTCGCTGGTAGCTTCCGGTTTTAGGCTCTCAGACCCTTTCGCTTTCAAAAGTTTTTCTCTGTCCTTCTTCCCTGCCATCTTTTTCACTTGTTTACTTTTGCAATTTTTAAAAAAGTCTCTGAATGTGTGCTTGACCGCTTAGATTCGCTTTGGTAACTTCTAGGCAGTTTCCTTCGCGTTTTCTTCTGCTCCCCCCCTCAATCGCTCAAAAATTCAAGCGCATGGGAGGCGTCCCTCCCCCGCTCGCCTTTTTCCCATTCAGTGAGGTGGGGTGGGGAGCTATCTTTTCCCCTTTGAAAAACGCTTCAAAGCTGACATGTTCATAATTGGTCGTTCGACCTCGCTTTCAACTTTCATTTCTGCCGCTGGATCTCCCACGCTTGCCCCGGTCAGCGTCACTAAGTCCATTCGGTCTCACAGCATGGAGAACCGTCGGAACGAAGAGGTGCCTCAATTCTCCGGCATATAAAAGGCAATCCCGACTAATCTTGTTTGTTTTCGACAGACCACAGTTTTGGTCTAATATATTTATTTAAAAGATGCTCGTAATCATTGTTAAAGTTTATTGTTTTAAGATGAAGGAAAATATCTGAGTGATATTTATTGGTGGAACTTTATGCTGTAGATGGAAGTTTTTGGTGTCTTTTCTTTGTTTATTTTGGAAAAACCAATAAAGAGATTGTTTTAAAAAAAAAAGAGAGAGGCTGAGAGGAAAGGACACACATCGGAGCTCTACATTCTGCAATCCTGGAGACTCTCCATGCAGTCCTATGGAGAAACTCTGTAGCCTGCCGATGGATTTCGTGAAGCTTGGACCGAAGGAACTCTCTGCAAAGGTTTGCACTGCGAGGCGAGGCTGTTTCTCGTCTTTCCTCTTCCGCCCGGCTCAAGCCTGGTGTTCCCAAAGGGAGACAATTCCTCTCCCGGCTACAACCAATTAGCGAGCCCTGCTAACAACCACGCAAGGAAAGGAAGAGGCAAAACTCTCTTTATCTGCAGCAGATCAGTCAGGTGCGCTGAGAAGAAGAGGCGAGGTGGAGAAAGAAGAAGCCGGGCAGTAAACAGAATCCCCCATGGGGCATCATTCACACAGAGGATACACCGAGGCACAAGGTGACCATCTGACTGGGTGGAGACACGGTTCAGGGGCAGGACATCACTTCGCCCTTCCCTCTCCCATCTCTTTTAGGAAATCTGTTCTTGGATAGAGCCCTGCCGTTGGGAACATTCATGTGAATGTCTGGATCTCGACTTGTGTCTTCAAAGAAAAAAGGACTCTTTATTGTGACCCCCCCAAAAAGTAGTGTTGAGTTAGAATTAATAAAGAACAATTCTGGGGCAAAAAAACCCCCGAATTAATAAAGAACAATTCTGGGGCAAAACAAAAACCCCTAAGTGTTAAAAACTCTTGCCCTTAGCTTCCATACAAATGAGAGGAACTCGGCTACTGATTCAGTGATTTCAGGGGATTTATCAGAAAGTAAGAAGTTAAACTCATTGTCAACAATCTTTGCAGCAGACAAGAGAGGGCAAATCAGGTGATGGCATAAAAAAGAATAATGAGGGCAACGAAGGAGGATATGTTGCATTGAATCTGGTTCATTATAGAGACAGGTGCAAACTCTATCCTTATCGTGGGTACCCTTGTATCTACCTGTCAAAACAGCTGAAGGAAATAAATTAAACCTAACTAACATAAAAACCCTGCGATGAAGAGGAATTGTCAAATTGTAAAGATACTGCACTATTGAATTTTGTAGAGGGGGGGTCATGAGAACGAGGGGAGCACACTTGCACTTCAGTGTCCCAAATCCTTCTTTGGACAGTCCAAAATATGTCCCTTTCTCCAGAATTACCCAGAGAGTCCAGATCGATACCAATTGATTTAATTTTGGACGTTATAAATTGTGACCATTTTGAGATATAAGTATCTGTAGGGAGAAGAGCAAAAAGGCTGTTGGGGGGTGAGCTGAAATAGAGACGTAGCCAGTATTTAATGGCTAAGATCCATGCCCGCGTTTCAATAAGATGGATGCCCAGCTCTGCACAGATAGTAAAATAGGCTACAGAGTTGGAAAGACGAAGGATCCTGTGTAAAAAGATAATATTTATACGTTCAACTTCTTTGTTGAAATTTTAGATCTACACAGGGGTCTCGTAAAGCAGGCGTGAGATAACCGTAGCCTGGAAAATCCGGAGGACAGCCGGGACATATTGATTACCTTTTTTGTGAAAAAAGCGAGTTATAGCCGCAATCTTATTCCTGGCCAGAGAGAGTGGTCCCGTTGAGAGCACCATTTTAAATTATATTGAAATAAAACACCAGGATATCTAAATCACTTAACTTGTCCTATTTCTCTTCCTTCTATTCCCCAGTGCATGCGCTTCCAGGATTTAGAAAAGACCAGTATTTTTGTCTTATCAAAATTAATAAGTGAGTTCTGTCTGCAGTAAGCAGTGAACTCCGAAAGGAGGCGTATTAACCCTACCCTAGTATTGACGGTGTTTGAAGTCAGAAGTAGCACAGTAGTTGTGGTACAGTATATACAGTTTATTTACAGAGCTATATAAATACACGCAGCTTTGCAGTAGTTCACAGTTCTGACTGACAAAGTGCTTCGCTGAATATACAACCATTAGGCAGGCTACTTGGTCAAGAACCTTTCTCAATATATACATCTGTTGACCAATCATAGTTCAGCACTGTACAACTGCTTAGTCATCCTGACATTAGCAGATATGATGCAACTTTAGATATCATGTGACCTCCTGGCTGTCACTTTAGATCATCTAGATCTAACTCCTGTACATGACATGCTGTGATCTTGCCTATACCAACAAGTATAGGACAGGATCACAGCATCATCTGCGTAAAGTAGGCTAGGTACTGAGGAGGCATTTAATTTAGGGGAATGGCCATCGATTTTGGCTAAACATAAGGGCAGATCAGAAAGAAAAAGGCAGTATCTTTCTAAGATAAAGCAAATATAAACTTTTCTGTGGTAGGATAGGCTCATGGTGACCTGGTGTCACAATGTATGACAAGACTACAAGAAGTGATTTTTCTCTCATCTTTTTCATCAAGACTTGGAAGAGTGTGGTGATCTGTAGATATTTTTGCTGCACATTCTGCATGGTCAGAATAATACTATGACTTATCTAAAGTTGATAGGAGTCAGTTTACTCTAAACTGTACCACCTGGATACTCTTCTGTTTATAAGTGAATTTTGGTTAGACCCACGTGCTGCAAGTTATGAAATGTATGTGTAAAATCTGCCTCAAGGAGGACACATGCACATCCCTGTATTAGTGGGAGATTTCTTCCTCCCCCTGTTCTGGTGGTCATGGTTCCTCAACCACCATCTCAGGCTTTCCCCTTTGTTTCCCCACATTCTCCCCCTAGTTATTACTGCTACCTCCCATAGTTTTTGTTTAACATTTTGAGTTAGTAGATGTCTGAACTCAGGCAACTAGCTTTTGTAACATCTGTGAATATGGAGGCATCAATAAATTACCACAATTTTACCTCAGTGTTTTGGGATGAAACAATTTGGGACCAAGATTTAGCAATATTTTATAATATGTTTACATTTCACACCAGACACCTTTCAACTGTTAAAGTCTAAAACAATGGCCACACATTATTAATCGGGATTATATGGTGTTAGTCCAGTTCATTCAGAGTATAAATTATTATCTTAGTTTGAAAGGGAGAAGGCATTATCACTTTAGTGCTCTTCTGCAGTATGATTTAATTATATATAGTTAGTTTACTCATCTGCTCTTGTATTCCCATTTCTTCAAGCATGGCTAATCAAAATCAGGGTTCAAAGAAAAGGACCTTAAACAAAGCAAATCAAAATCAAACCCACATAATTTCTAGGTTCCTCACCCTCCTTCATGCTGGTATTTTGGAAAACTGAGTAAGTCAGCTGAAGCATGTAAGCAGTTTTAGAAAAACACTTTTCCTCATATAACAAGTGGGTACTTAGAGTTTGTTTTGTAATTTTTATATTAAATTTTGTTTCACTGTGCCTTAATTACAAGATTTACATCCCCTCCTCTAAACAAATTTATTTAATTAAGTATCTAATTGAAAAATATTTCCTATGTAAGTAGGAAATAATAGCTGATCTATAATAGCTGACCTATAAAATCCATTCACTCAGGGAGCGCATGAGATTTTTCCCAGTAGCTTTGATTAAAGTATCCAACTGTTTATTCTTTTTCCGTTACAGAGCTTCCTTATGGTTGGGAGAAAATAGAAGACCCACAGTATGGAACGTACTACGTTGAGTAAGTTAATAGTTGCTGTTATGTCATAATTAAATTAATCATAGCTGAACATGGCATTATATATAGATAATTATACTTCTGTTAAAAGAGTTACTAGTTATAAAGCAAGATAATGGGGGCTGTATTCATATATCTTCCAGTGGAATCAATTAACACCTGCACGAATACACACACTAAATCCATGTACGATAGAAATAATTTATTATTAAGTAGATCTCCTTAGCTTTCTGCCTCTGCCACAGCATCTTAATTCCCTCCTAAAATAGCTGTTTTCGTAGTTCTTTAAGTATTGTGTCATATCAGTTACTTTGGCAGTGATCCAGAAGTCCCATTTACCCCATTTATGTGCCAGAGATTGTACATATGCTGTGGAAATGCTTTCTTTTTCAGTACAACAGCTTCACCACCACCCTTGTGCATCAACACACAGCACTTCTGAAGTGCTACCAAAGTTCTTTGCTCTTCTTAGCTGCATCCTTTGCAGGGCTTTTTTCCTGGGGGAACACACTGGAACAGAGTTCCGGAACCTCTTCAACAAAATTCTTTTAAAAATGTTAAAAAGTTCCCAAGTTTTCAGGATACAGATTGAAAACTTCATTTCCTGCTTAAGAGTTCCGGCACCTTACCAAAAAATAAAAGCCCTGATACTTTGTACAAATAGTTGAAGTTTTCATCTCAAGTCTTTTAAACACTGAGATGTTAGTTGCATCTATTGAAACACATATGGTACACCTCATTAATTTGAAGCAGCTATAAAAAGGGGGTGCTTGATAAGCCTTAGCTTGTTTGAGCAGAGACCACAAGACATTTCCACTCTGTCCCTAATCCAAGATTCAGCTGTAGGTGAGCAGGGTAGCCAGACTATATACTTGAAGCAAAATGCTACTTCTGGTCTAGTGCTATAGCTTTTGATGAACTAGATTTCTTGCCATTGAGACAGCGTCTTATATTTTAACAGGAAAGTCAGGAAATTTTGGATATTTAAATCCAAAAATTTCAGTGATTCAAAAACAGTGTAGTTTTGTTAGCATTTTATCAGCCTAAATATTTTTGGTAGTGGTTGATAAAAGCTGGGGACATTTTGACATGGGAAATGTTGTTACTCACATGGTTCTGGAAGTCATTGTAAACACCTTGATAATAACACAAGCAATCATGATAATAAAGATTGTAGCTTCTGCTTTGGTGATTTCCCCCTTTTTAAAATCATGTGTCTCATTTGAAATTCTGTTTCTGAGTGCAGATCAAAAAACTCACATGTTGGGGCCAGGTGCAGAAACAGGAAGTGTTTCTACAAATCTGGGGAAATCCCCAGGCTTATAGAAAAATTCAAAAATTTTTTAAAAGGGGCGGTGATAAAATCTCATCAGAGGTAGACTTGGCTGCTCCATGTTTAGCCTGGGGACATTAAAGACCTGTCATTCTGGAGGAGGGGCTAAAGAGTACATCATCTAAGCACTTGTCATTCTACCAGCGGAGGCAAAGCAGCACTTATGAACATAAGAAGAGCCTTGCTGAATCAGACCAGTCCATCTGATCCAGTATCCTGTCTCACATGGTGTCCAACTGGATTCTTTTTGCCTGTCTCTCAAGACATTACATTTCTCATTCTGTGAGGAGGGGTTACTATTCAGCAGTGGTGATAAATATCGGGAATGAGGGAAAGCAGAGATATAAATGGCTTTATATATACAAAATATAATAAATAATCCCATCCCTCAAAATGGAGAAGCAGTCTGTGTGTATTTATGTACACATAATCTTATATCCAAATAGCGAAGCTGGCCCATCTTTGGATACTTAAATCCAGTGACTGGAGCTGTGAAAGGGCAAGACAGCTCTTTCTGCAAACCTCAAAAGGGCCCCAGGTTTTCAGAAAAAAATGTGAAACCTAAAATAAAAATGGGTGGTTTAAAAAATATGAAAATGATAAAACAAGTGCCTGTAGCTTTAAGCAAGGGATTCCCTCAGTGGCTGTTACTGGGCATCAACAATATTCCAGGCTGGGTTTCAGTGAGTAAACAGCAAGGGGAGGAGGCAGGGCTCCAGGATTGGAAATTCCTGGAGATTTTGTGGTAGAGTCTGAGGAGGGCAGGGTTTGCGGAGAAGAGAGGCCTCTTCCGAATATAATGCCATAGGGTCCACCCTCCAAAGTACGCATTTTCTCCAGAGGGACAAATCTCTGTTGTCTAGAGTTAAGTTGTAATTCTGGGAGAGCTCCAGGTCCCACCTGGAGGTTGGCAACTTGAGGCCTGAAAGCAACCTCTGAGTGACTTGATTTGAATGACACAGCTAGGTCTGGCTGCTTGGTACTGTTTAATAGCAAGCACCCTATGAAAGCCTGTGGGGTATAGCGGTTAGAGCAGGGGTGTGAAACATACTGCCTGCGGGCCGGATCCTGCTGTCTGGCCTGCGAGCAATTGGCTCTCTGCTGCTTCCTACTTCCTGTTCCTGCATTGCAGCTCCTTTTGCCCAGTTTCTCCTGTTTCCTGCTTCGCAGAGGAGACAAAGAAAGCCAGGCTGGGCAGGAGAAGCCTCCCAGCCAGGTCTGTGTGTGGTGGTGAGAGATCTCCCTGTCACACACAGTTTTGAGTGCGAGCAGCTTCTCTTGCCAGGCACTTTAAAGTGTTGGGCAGGAGAAGCCTCCGAGCCAGGTCTCTGTGCGGTGGCGAGAGATCTCCCTACTGCACACAGATCTGGGGGGGAGCAGCACCTAGCACCAAGCAGGAGAAGCCTCCTAGCCAGGTATGCATGTGGCTGCGAGAGACCACACACAGATCCTGAACCTCATGAAACAAACCAGTTTGGCAAATGGGAAGGCTCGTGAAAGTTTGTCCATGTTGCCCCATGAACCACGAATCCAGATGAATCTCCATTTTCCTTGGTCATGCCCATCCTTATTCTCTATAGTGCTGCCACCTACAGAAGTGGGCTCAGTAATGCATACCTTCGCAGTCATTTGGAATACTTTGATGGTCTGGTTGTGGGAGGTCTTTCTATAACCTGCAAATATTTTAAGCATCTTGACTATTCAGCTTTTATTTAATATGTAATGGTTGAATCCTGCTTATGTTTGAGTTTGAAATGATCTTTTGAATGATCTCTGTTATTGTTAAGAATTGTCTTATGGGTCACCCAGATCGCCAGCACACTTAATGAGGATTGTAAATGATCGTAGCTTTCTCCTAAGGCGTAACTCTGGTAGTTGTAAGAATAAACTCACCGTGTCTTCCCTTCACATAGTTTTCCCCTTCTGATGAATTTCTGGCCCTAAGTTAGATGTATCATTTAGGAATAATAGGATACTGGAGTTACAGGTACTGACTTATAAAATATAACACATCTGATTCCTGACTATATCTAGAGGTTATTGAGATCTATTGGTCTCTCACAGGCTGAGCCAACACCTCCATAAGTCTTCTGTGTAGAGGGAGGCCACTGGACATGTACCCAAGCCCTGGCTAGGTCCTTCAGTTGGCTTGAGGGAGGGGGATCAATGAGGACAGACCAGCTCTGGCTCCAAGCTCAGAAGGAAGTAGAGCTAGAGGAGAGGGGGTGGATTAGGATAGTACCCAGCCCCCTGCCCCATTCTGTCTGAGGCCAAGGGAAGGCCCACCAGCCAAATAAGACCTAGTGCATGATGGCTGGGGCTGGGATTCCTACAGCAGTATTTTTATGAACTCCCAAATGTTCTGTTAAATAACTCTAATATATACCCTTGCCTGGAAGCCATCAAAGTTAGGGGCTTTCCTCATGCTCTGAGAATCTGTTCCAAACCACACCCCTATAAGCACAGGGACTGCAATAGAAAGAACCCTGAATGGCCTCTGGTGAGTGCAAGAGGGTGCAGAGAAAAGAAACAACTGTGGTGACTAGAGCTGTTATACACAGGTTCATATAGGGAGAGTAGGTTATGTAGACATATGGAATCTATCATAAAATTTGCCATATTGTGAAGAACGTAGAAAACCTCCACTTTAAAGGAAAGACCTGGTTTCATGTTCTGCATGTGTAGAGTTGCTGTATATATAGTCATTGTAACATATGATGTTATTAAGACATGGAGCTTATCCTCAGATAGAAGAAACCTTATCCTATTAAATGCTTTTATTATGCCTTTTTGGAATTTCAGTATGGGTACAGTAAATAAGCAATTATTAAGATATGCATGTGCAGAGTGTGATCTTTCCTGGGTTGTGAAAGGCTTGCTCCATTATACTCTGAGCTAGTATACAGTACTTAGCTTGTATTAAGTGTAGTTGCTTAAGTTATTGTAAACTCTCTCTGGACCAGATTCTTTGATACTTAAATGTCTGATCTTGGTTCAGTAAAAGAATATTAAATAATCTGGTTTAGCAATAGTGTCCCACTCACTGATTGTCCAAGGTTTTGTACAGCTCTATGACCTCTTGGGAGGCAAGGTGGGATACAAATGTTATTTACTGTATTTATATCCCACCTTTCTCCCCAATGGGGACCCAAATAGGGACCTATAGGACGTTTATGAAAGCCTATGAGATGGCAGTCAAAGCTGCAAAGAAGGATTTCTATGTGGCAGCGATTGCGTCCGCTAGCTCTCGCCCAGCCCAATTGTTTAGGACGATTCGGTCAATAACAGCTCTGCCACAGGGCAGACCAAATGTTAGGGAATTGGATATTGGCTGTGAGGCATTTGCGAGCTACTTTGCGGATAAAGTCTTGGCGCTCTGACGCGACCTCCCCGCCACATTCGATACAGTGAGCGAGCTCGAGGCCCATTGCACGTCTTCGACTTTGATCCTGGATCGCTTCAGTCCAACCAGTCTGGAGGAAGTCGACAGACTGCTTGCAGCTGTACGCCCAACCACATGCAGTCTTGATCCATGCCCTTCCTGGCTCATTAAAATTGGCCATGAGGAGTTCTGAGGTGCCCTAAGGGAAATTATCAACAAGTCCCTCTTAGAGGGACAGTTCCCTGGGGTACTCAAGGAAGCGATGGTCCACCTTCTCCTGAAAAAAAC